CTCGGAGCCGAGTGGAAACGATCTCTGTCATTATGTGAAAAAAGCAGGGAATAGACCAGCGGGTGGAGGGCGACCCTTTGGGGTTTGAAAGGACGCGGCGGGGAGCACGTGTTTGTAGGCTCAGAAAGCACTGGCCACAGCCTCTGTCCCTGGAGAGTAGAACTAGATGGAACCTGGAGGTCAGAGGTGGGAGGGAGACTGACTTTTCACTGACGACCCTTTTCTAACTTTGTAACCCTGAGCCATGAGCATGTATTACCTTTCCACAATTAATCAGAAACGAAATCAGTGAATACATCGGAACAGTCTGAGGGGGTCAGGAAGGCAGAAGATCTCGGCCCCCGGGGATCTTCGAGAGAGGGCCGGGGAGGACAGAGCGTGGCCAGGCCGAGTGCCCGCGGTACTTGCCTGAGGCAGCGGTCCACGTCCGGGTCACTCCGGCAGTACTGGAGGCCTCCGTGTCTCAGGGCATCCTCGGGGTTGGCAAAAGCCTGAAATACATCAGCTGAGAATTACTGCCCGTGAGATGGACGGCCGGGCCACCCGAGTGTGCGGCGGCGCTGTCACGTGCATGCCCATTCGCCAGCATCCATGAGCTCCTATCACATGACAAGCGCTGGGGACGCACCGTGAACAAGTCTGCGATGGACAGAACGTTCGCGTCCCCTGAAAGTTCAAACGTTGAAGCCTAACCCCCGTACGTGACGGTGTTTGGGGGTAGGGCCTTTGGGAGGGGGTCGGGTCTTGAGGGTGGAGCCCTCGTGAACGGTGAGGAGTGCTCTCATAAAAAAAAAGACCCCAGTGAGCTCCCTGGCCCCTCCAGCCATGCGAGGACACAGGGAGAAGACAGCCATCTATGGACACATCTAGGAAGCGCGCCGTCGCCAGACAGACAATCTGCCAGCGCCTTGACCTTGGACTTCCCATTCCATATAACTGAGAAATTTCTGTTGTTTATCAGCCGCCCAGTCTATGGTATTTTGTTCTAGCCGGCCAAACGGACGAAGGCAACGCCCCTCTCGTCCCTGCTCTTGTGAAGCTCACGGTCTGATAGACCAGAGAAGACCAGGTGGTGAGTGTTAAGAGAGAGTCGGCCTTGAGAATGTTCACGGGAGACCTCAGTGAGCCTGGCGATCAGAGAAGGCTTCTCGGAGGCAGCGACGTTAAAGCTGAGGCTTGAAGGATGCATCAACAGTAACCAGATGAGGGGAAGGGTCAAGCAACGGCAATCAAGGCATTGGATCTGCATGTGCAAAGGCCCTGGGGTCAGAAGACGGGTATTCAATGAATTGTCAATGGAGAGCAGAGATTTAAGGTCACACTGGGGTCATCGAAGGCCTACCCCACCACTCCTGATCCATCGGGCCCTGCTGGCATCCAGGAAAGCCAGCCCCACCGACCCGCAGCAAGCCCGAACCTCAGCACCAGGTTTTCTAAATTACCCATCGAATGGTGAATCCTGCTGCTTCTGAGCCCTTGTGACATCTGACCCCAAGCACGGATTTGTCCTGCCTCTGCCCCACCCCACCCCCCAGGCGAATGCAGCCCAAGCTTGATGTAGGTCTCAGTCAGGATCAAAGTCTCCGCTGGCCCTTAAGTCATGGAATCACCAATTTTGATGGCCCTGCACAGAGACAGACCAGGGACTCCCGACACCCTTCAAGGGGTCTTCGCATTCAGAGGGCATTTGCCTTTGGAGTCTAGGGTCCATGGGTCTGGGCATCTCTGCAGACAGAACTGGAATGCGAGTCGGCCCAGCCAGGAGCCAGCTGGGAAGAGCCCCATCGTCAGAGGCTGCAGGACTACGTCTCGCTGGGGCGAGGCTCCGGGCCCCTGGGTGAACTGCCACGAAGCCACCTGTTAGTAAGACTAAGTCATAAGAGCTGATACCGGTGGAACATTCGCTCTGGGCCAGGTGCCAAAATCTCCTCCCATGACTGTGCCGATCCCAGACTTGCCCAAGGTCCCAAGGATGGTGGGCGGGAGAGCTCGAGCCTGCATCTGTCGCCTCCCCAAACAGAAATGAGAGGAAAATCCGTAGAAGGCAAACAGCACCTCAGGACTGGGCCGGCCCAAGGGGAACTTTCCTTCTGCCACTCCCCACTCAGACAGGTATGTCTCCGCCCTTCCCTGAGTTCTTAAGAAGAGAGCTCTGGGCCCTGCACCTCGCTGTGGAAAACACCAACCCCGTGGCAGGGTGTGGACTCTGCAGCTGGACATCTGGGTTCAAACCCAGCTCTGCAGCCTGGGAAGTAATCTGGATCCCAGATCCCTAACCTGGAGAACGAGGTGGAGCCGGCTCCTCCCCTCCTCCTTCCCCCAGGACCGCGGTGGGGATTAAACTCCTAGAAAGGGCAGGGAGGGTGAGTGCAGCTGTCCCCGCGGGGTGCCTGAATCCCGCAGCCCAGGGGCACGGGGACAGAAGGCCAGGTGATCACCGTGCCAGTGCCTTTGGGAGTTGTCTCACCTGGGGTGGGGGTGGGGGACTAGCCTTCAGTCCTGCGTGTACCTGCTCCAGGGCCTCAGCCCGGCTCCCCAGTGTCCACCCCCGCAAGAGATGCCAGAGCCAGCCTCACCTTGCCTTTGAACTGGATAAAGGGGGAGAAAGGGGCACAGTCTCCAGAAACGATTTCTCTACTGAAACACCTGGAGGGTAATCAGCAGGTGCCCCCTGGGCCTCTGGGCGTGCAGTAGGGAGGACGACGCTCACGTGGCCCGCAGCCTCTCCGCTCAGGCCATCCCGTGCGTGCGAGCAGAGTCTCCCCAGGACAGCGAACCGCCCACCCGCGCGCCCTGGCTCAAATCTTAGCCGCTTTATTGTTGTTTTGGCTCGAGGACTCGGACTGGTGGGGGAAATTCCTGCCTACAACTCCGGGGGAGCCCGGCCCAAACCCAGACCCTGGAAGCTTCGGTGGGTTTGTGAGCGACCTGGCCAGCGAGCTGGGAATTTCCACTTAACGCGCTCCCAGGTCCTGTTCCGTCGGTTCCCGCTCCACCCAAATATCAGATCTCCTGTTTTGGGAAGCCGCCAGGTCAGCGGAGGCTTCATGTCGTCTCGCTCCACCCCAGGGACCGGTCGGTGGCGTCGAAAGCGCTCCACGAC